GTTATGTTTCAAAAGAATATATAGTCTTTTCTTTTTAAATTGCAAAAGCAATTTGTTAAAATTAGAGGTATTTGAAGTTAGCTTTGTGTATGAGTAATGTCAATATTATTCATTTAAGCTGGGCTTTTTGTCTTGAAAAGGCTGTTAAGCTTTCCGGCTTAATTTTTCCCATCTAACTTTATGTTGTACTGATATAAAGTTTGAAAATGTTCTATTCACATGGTGACCTTGTTTTTAAATTAAGTAATTTTTGAATAAAAGAAAGTCTCTAGTTTCTTATCTTGACCAGTAGACTTGTCAGTCTTTTATGGTTTCAGGTTATGCTAATAACCAGTTTTCCGAGACTCTTGTTTCTATTCTTTAAAATCTGGGGGTGGGCCACAGTCATGTTTAGATTTTTTTTGAAACAAGAAAACCTTTTACTTCTCAATAAAAACTAACTGGAACATCTAAAAGTGTTCAATAGGTATAAAATAATACATAACGGAAGTGAAAAGGTTTAAATAACAGCAGTTACTGAAATTACTCCCAGACTCTGTAGGTCACCCATATTATTTAGAAATGTTAGAAAGCAATCATTTATGCCGGGCGGTGGTGGCGCACGCCTTTAATCCCAGCACTCGGGAGGCAGAGGCAAGGATCTCTATGAGTTCGAGACCAGCCTGGTCTACAGAGCTAGTTCCAGGACAGGCTCCAAAACCACAGAGAAACCCTGTCTCGAAAAACCAAAAAAAAAAAAGAAAGCAATCATTTAGTGTTGTATCACAAATAGTATTGAGTTTATTTTCCCTAATTCGTTTGAATAGAACATACTCAGGATTACAGCCACCTGGATAACAGGGACTGGAAACTTAGTGAACTTTTGAGAGTTAAAAGATGTCCTAACAGGATGCTAGCAGCAGCTACAGGTTTATGCAGCTGTAAGGATAACATCTTATTTGAGTGGGTGTTTATTTTTGTTATTGGGGGGAGTAACTATAAGTTAATAGTAGAAGATTTTGTAATTACCCATTTTAATAATTACGTTTTATAGTTCCTCTGAAAGATGCTGCTTTGCTACTAAAAGGAAGGGAAGTGTCAGCTAGAACTCATTCTTGAGTTAACACTGCCAACAGGAAATAATCTTGTCCTTATTCTACATTCGAATTTTCGGTTGGCTCCGAAAAGGTTTAGGCATTGCAAGAACTCCTAAGAGTTGTAAGGAGGCCAGTTTCTTCACCCTGTTCATCTGAGACTTAGTGATCAGTTCAGGATTCTGACTGATGGAAGAGTTAGAAACTCAGCTGTGGTGTGGTGCTGAAGATGTATTTTCTACTGTGCTACTGATGTCAAAGGAGACATTGCAGGTGGCTTTTTACACATCTAAAATGTTTGTGAACTCACTGTTACATATTTTGTGAATTTCTGAATTTTCAAACATTTTCTCCTGAATTAGTTTCTAATTCAGTTTCTAGGGTGTTTGTTTTTATGTGAACTAAACCCGGGCCACAATGGGACAAATTTGTGTAGTCACTGAGGAAGCTGTGCTGGAGGCAGCAAGCCTACAGACTCTGGCTTCATTCTGACCAGCTCACGTCTGCCAACCCTTGGATATATTCTTGATACTCTTACCATTATTCTACATGTCACTTTTAAGTGTTTCCTGGTAGAATACTTTATTAATAAAGTGTTCATTCAGCAGACAGTGGAATTTTCTAGGTAGTCCAGGCTGGCCTTAAACTCTTGTTCCAACATCCTGAATGCTGGGATTTACAGAGCTGTACCACCAGTGAGCACTGCTGAAGGTTTCTCTAAAAAAGGAAATGGATATAAGAGATCCTAGCATTTTAGGGCTCCTGCTGCCTTTAGCTATACTTGTAGGAATATATATTAAAGATGGTGAGTTGGGGGAAGCTACTTACATTTAAGAATCATGCAAGAAATTCCAAAATCTTCCTAGGCATGGTTGCGTATATGTGGAAACATCAGTAGTGACTTTAAAAATATGCTGTAACAGAGCTGAAAATGTGACATAGGTCTAGAAAAAGTAACCCATGTTGATGGAACTATTGATAAATCGGGAACAATTGTAAAAAAGTAAAGCAGGCACTTGGGCTAATTCCAAAGTAACAGTCCTGTTTCTGAGAGTGCTGTAATTACACTGTTGATGGCAGTGTAACAGAGCTGAGTCTCGACATTCGCTACTAAATAATTTGAGTGCAAAACTAAACAGTGTTCAAATTTTGCAATTATTTCTCATCATGGACTTAATTACAGGCAAGTATCCAGAAATAATGGATAAATTAGAAGTAAGATGTATATTGCAGTTAGAACTACGTAGACTTGTGAAGTTCTCAGCTGGTGTGATTTCTCTACGTGCGCTAGACATTTGTTGGCTCATTAGCTGAATGTTTTCCAATTTCATTGATTTTTAGGGTTTTCCTAAATTCACATGGTTTTATGAAGTGTCTTTAAGGGTAGAGGAAGTCTCCTATATCCTCTCTCATATTCTTCTACCCAGACGTCAGGCACCCTTGCTCAAAATAACTGCAACGATGGTAAAAATTAATGGGCCAGAGAACTTTGCTACCAGAGAAGTAGCCTCTGTGTGGCACCAGCATCAGAGCCTGTCCGGTTAGACAGCATCACCCTGGGCTCTGGTCGCTGCCCCACCTCCTGACCTCAGAAGGAGCATTTTGACTGGCAGGTCTTAGGAATGGCAAGATGGTGTAACATCAGGGAAATATAACAGTGGCACCGTGGTGAAAAGAAAAATATGGAGGGGGAGGAAATATGGGTGCCATGGTGAAGACCCGGGCAGTGGTGGTTCTGGGATCCAAGGCTTCTCCTGAGGAGAGTCTTCATAAGGATAACTGTGCACGTGCAAGGGAGTTGAAGCCTTTACTGAAGAGTAAAGAAAATCATACATCTGAGTAGCCTGGAAAGCGTTTCAGGAATTGATGACAAAAAGGCGTCTCCACCAGTGAGATTTTGCTCATCTCAGGTATTCTCTGTATCACAATAGGAAAGACGAGCAAACATGGTTATCTTCCTACAGTACGCGTCTGGGTCCCTGTAACAAAGGGTCAGAGTGCAGAAATGAAGGTAGTTGTCCAGACATTTAATGAGAAAGTCAGTGTTCAGAATATAGAAATGTTGGCTTGATGTGCTGTTTATTGGAGTATTGGTTAGGGGGTGTTGCTTAGTGAGGTGCCTTCAATCAAAACATAGATGCTTAGAGTCTAATTTTAAGTTATAGAGTTATGCTCAAGCCCAGTGAACACGTCTGTGTTGTCATGTGAGTGAGTCTCAGTGGGGAGATTAAGAGATTCCCTCAACTGTGCTTACTTCTTTTTCCATTTAGTTACTGAAAGTTTTATTGGCATTCTACATTGTGAGCATGGCTTCAGGGGTTACAGAAACAATCCATCCTGCTGCAGGAGGATTCTGGTTTCTGCTGAGAACGGTACTGCAGTGCTGTATCCGTGGAGTGAGTCTGTAATGTCAGGAACCTGGTGTGTTGGGATGAGTCCTTCCGACTGCTGAAGTTGAATGGACCTGATATGCCTTGGCTGTGCTAGTTGGTCCTGCTTGTGCCCTTGAAATGTTTTGATAACATTTTGTTAGCCATTACAAAGGGTCTTTTCTCCCTAGTTTTGTACTTTGTATAATTTTAAGTCAAGGGAGCTGGAGAGATGGCTCAGAGGTTAGGAACACTGGCTGTTCTTCCAGAGGTCCTGAGTTCAATTCCCAGCAACACATGGTGGCTCACAACCATCTGTAATGAGTTCTGGTGCCCTCTTCTGGCCTGCAGGCATACATGGAGACAGAACACTGTGTACATAATAAAATATTTTTTAAAAAATTTAAGTCAAGCAATAATGTCACATGTAATATTAGTGTCTTAATTGCTTTCCAGAGCAGTTTAGGATGCATTGTGTTAGTTCCCTTAGTAGATGAGCTTTATTGAGGACAGACAGTGGCAGTGTTAGGGTAAATATGTATATATATATTTTTAAAAAATAGTTTTTCTGAGTGCTTGTCTGAGCTCTATACACGATGGCGCTTCTGTGAATGCATCAGAAATGGGGATGACCTCCAGGGAGCACCACTGTTCATAGCTCGCACTTAAGTTCCATTTACATAATGCAAGGTAGGAAAATAAAAATGAAAGCCTTTTACTGCTTAAAAATGTTGTATGACTTTTTATTTTGTTCTTAGTTAACTGTGAAACAAGCAGAGATCAGTGGCCCCATGTTCTAAGTGATAAGATTTTAAATGTTATTATTTACCTAAGGATTCATAACTAATAGGCAACCTAGTCTTTAACAAATCTTTCAAAAAGTTATTTTAATATATAAATTTATATTTATATTTAACTTTATTATATGTGCATGTGTGTGTGTGTGTGTGAGTGAGCTGTACACAGTACATGTGTAGAAGTCATAGGACAGCTTTGCAGAGTTGGTTCTCTGCTGAGACTCACACTGAGGCTGTTGGGTTTTGTTGCAGCGCCCTCTTCTGTCCGCAGCCCTCCCGACAGACCTGACACCCTGCCTGATGTTCCACACATTCAGGCCCACTCCCCTTTCCCTTGGATGTCATTGTTGATTGACTAGCCTGGCTTTCATGAAGAAGTGCTGTGGTGAAACATTGAAAAAAAGTTGGTTTTCAGATTTGCACTTTGTAGATACATTGTTACAAGGGGTGTTTACATGTTTACTTAAAGGGTGGCATATTTCCATAATCCCAGTTGAGCAGTTCAGTGGTTTTTCTTTGAATTTCTACCTCCCTGCCTTTTGCCTTTCAAAATAACAACTGAGAACATTAAAAGGGATAGCATAAAGAACTCGCAATACTTTCCTGTTTTTATTACATGTGTGCCTGAGAGCCGACTGAGGAGAGGCGGCCAGTTCCACAGTCTTGGTGTCTACTTCAGTGTTAAATATTCCCAGGGAGGGGTGTACATTTATGTCTATTTGTATAGGTAAAATATCTATTAGAAGGTTTGTAATAATAGTGTATAAGGCGCTATGTACTATTACTTTACTTGAAAAACTAAAAAGCTGTAACTTGACATTATATAGTAAAAAACTCAAAGAATTTTCTAAGCCTTATGGAAGAACGTCCTGTCAAAGATCTCAAACTCTCCTTTTACGTAAATTGACACAAATGGTCGTTACTGTGTTATAGCCTGGTGTTTTGGTTCATGCATGGCATTGTAAACTGGATAAGCCAGGCCAGTTTACTGACGTTTGCTGAGGTAAGTGTGCCTTCCAGGGAGAGCCCTGCAAAGGGGAAGCACTCCTGTGTGTCCTGGGCAGGGCTGCCCAGTCTCCTGTGCCTGCCAGTGTGGCCTGTGTGCTGCTGCCTCCTGCTTCGTGTTGTGTAAGGACCCGGTGGCTCCTCCCTTACGGACAACCGTGTGCTCTGTAGTTATTACATTTACTCAGCATCAGTCTCTTGGTTTTGGGAGTGGCCTGTGGTTATGTAAGACCACTGGGAAAAGTTGACGGGAGGGTGATGTGGAGTTGGAGCTATTTCTACAACTGCTGAATTTTAAATTATTTCAGGATAAAAAAAATTTAAACCTTTGTCCATGCTGTTTCCAGTTTCGTTTTGTTTTTCTGATTCAAAGTGGAAGCCTGTATTTTTGTATGGGCGTTAAAAAGTAATCTTTAGTTGAATGACATCGCACTTGCAGGTGAGCACCCACATCTGGGTATAAAATTCAGCTGTTTTATGCAAAGTGAAGGTGCTCATGGGCCAGCAGCCAGGTGGAGAGAGAACTTAGTAACGAGCCCACTTGTCTCACGATGCAGCCCAGGTTGACCACAGCTATACGCACAGTTCAGATGTTAAAACTAAGTATAGGAGGATGTTAGTGAACTTCTTTTTCATTTCATCCAAAGCAGAATGTTGGGTTTAGAAATACTGTGGTTGTGCAATGATGACATTGCCTTATTGTAAATTAACCCTCTTAATTAGCAGTTATGCAGGGATACTAACCTTTCGACAGATCCGCAGGGAACCTGAGCCCACGTTCATGGTGACTCCTGCTTGGTTGTTGATTGTCGGAGCTCATCCTGCCGTTGGCTGTGCAGTCAGGTCCACATTGGTGTCTGCGGAGCACAGGAGAAGTCTTGCCAAGCCAAGACGATCCTCAATTATAAAATCAGTACTCTGAGCACATAAAGCCTGAGGAACTCTAAAGCAGAGACATAGTGGGAATATTTTGTTTAAGGCACAGCCAAGTCCTCTGAAGGCCAGTATTTAGGTTAGAGTCATATATGGGCTTGTCTGACATTTTTTACATCCCCTTTTCACCCCTGGGTGGCTTGTGGCAGTTACAGGATTCTCAACTTCCATGGAATGCCTAGGAAGTTCCATAAACTAAAGGTGCGCCTGGATTTCCACCTCCAGGTTAACTGAGGCTGTGGCTGCTTGACAGGACAGTATCTCCTTCCCCGGCTGCCGAGGGTGAACTCCTGAACCCCTGTTTCCTTTTTTTTCCTCCTTCCACTGAGTTCGAGTCCATCCGTGGCAGGTTGATAAGTTTCAGAATAACCAGAGCAGAGAGACCCTAAACCCTGCCACAGTTAGACTATTCCTGTGACAGGTAGAACTCGCTGGTTCCTGAGCTACTGCCTTTGAGAAGGGCTTTCTGCAGAGCGTCTTCACCAGCTCAGATGGATTCCTCAAACACATCCGCTAGAGTGGTAGTGCCCAGATGGCCAGAGCTTCCTCCTGGGTCACGTCTGCTCTTACGGACCCATCATTCTCCCCTGACTGTAGTTATTGAGAGGCTGGGGAGTAGAATCCTTTACACAAATGTATAGTGACCCATAACGACATACGTTTTATGTATACGATTTCTGGGTTTTCTGTTCCATGGTGTCATTGTATAGATATTTTCTAATCTCCAGTTTATTGAGCAGTGAGATAAGGCGCAGTGGACAAGCCGTGTGACACCTGTGTATCGCGTGGACGGGTAACTCAGACCGTCAGCTCACCCCAGCATCTCAGAGAGGAGTGGTGAGGCCGAGACGAGTGAGAGGCTCACTGTCATGAGTGTTCAAGTAAAATTAATATAATTTTATCTAGGCTGACAGTTTATCTCCGCATTATTCTTATTTCAGTGCTTTTGAAATAAAGACAAAACCGTCACAGTTATTAGTAGAAATAGTGTCTGCGTTGGGCTTTACAGGTTACTGACTCTCATTCGACCATTAAAATGTCTAGGTGGGGAAGAAACTGTGTGAAATAATATAACTTTAAATTTTTTGATTGATTGATTATGTTTTTGGCTAACAAGGAGGTCACTCAGGCAGGGAGCTTGTTGCTTTGATTAGCATTGCCCCCTACACAGCACAGCTCTTCTGCTCATCCCATTGTACTTGAGAAGCCAGCATCCTGCCAGGACATGGCCCGTCCTTTTCATGGGATATTTCATTTCATTCTAAAAGGTATGTCATGGTTTTAACACGCAATTGATTATTGCCTCGTAGATGTATGTAGTCAGATACCCAGAGTTGCTGACATCTTGTTCCTGCGAGTTGTCAGTGAGCCCTTGTATGGCTTTCCTGCAGTGTCTATAACAGAGACCTTCAGTCTCACGTCTAACCAGCCTACAGTGGTTTGTTGTCCTGCATCCCCGAGGCTCAACAAGTCTGAAACCAGGTGACCACAGACTCTGGAAACGTTAAGGGAGAAGCCTTAATTACCGTATTTCCTTTTCCTCCCTTCTGGTGGTTCCCAGTTTCTTGGTGGTCTGTAGCTTCTAGCCACATCACTAAAATTTAATATTTTTGTAATAGTGACTTTATCAGTAAGACTGGATAAGAAATTGAAGTGCTTGGGTTAAAAAAATCGAATCTCAGTGTAGCTTTGCAATAAAATGTGTAGACTGTAATAATTCTTAGCTCATGTCACCTATAATTCAATCTAACGTATTCAGTAATTATAACCTTTGGTTGACTACAGTATCTAACGAGGAGTGTTTGATAATTTATTGGTATAAATTGTTAGACCTCAAACTTTAGCTAGTTTCTATCGGTCTCAATAAGAAGCTGGATTGAAACACTATTTGACCAGAACCCAAGACTCGGGTGTGGCAGGTCTGAGTAGGGTGTAGTAACTCCTTGACTAGGGTATTCCTGCCTCCAGGAGGATCCTGATGCCACTCAGAACCATCCCTCGCTAACCTCTGCGCAGGTATATGGGGTCAGGAAAACAGCTCCATAACCTCTGCGCAGGTGTATGGGGTCAGGAAAACAGCTCCATAACCTAACCCAGGTATATGGGGTCAGGAAAACAGCGACCACTCACCTCCCACTACCCTGCGTCAACAGGTGTTAAAGATCTGTCAGGTTGCCTCTGGTCAGTTTCCCTCGCGGTGAAATAGTCAGATACCAGTGCTTCTCTCAGCTCCAAGTCTCCTCCTCCGTTCTGCAGAAGAGAACTGCTCCAGAGTGTGGTCCTCCCTTCTCTCCCTACCCCTGTTAGTCTTAAAAAGGAAAGGTGCTTTTGTTGCGTCTTAAATCCCCTGTAAACAGCAGAGTTGATGCCTTTCTGCTCTTTCTGCTCCCGGTGGTCTTCTCCCAGGCCGTGGCTTCCTTTTATGAACACAATGGTTTCACTGAGTCTTTGAAGATTCCAGACAGTGCATTTGGATCATATCCACCTTTCCCTAGTTCCTCTCAGACCCACCCACCCACCTCTGTACTTAGGACTTGTTTCTTTGGTTCTTGTTTTGTTTTGTTTTGTTTTTTTCTTTTTGAACAGAAATCCTTAATTTTAATTGAAGTCAGTGACATCAGTTTTCCTTTTTCGGCACCTTCTGTCTCCTATCTTGAAGTTCTTAGGTAACTTTCGTAGAGCTGCGCTTGCGAGTAACGACTGCTGAGCACCTGAAATACGGCTAGTCCGAATGAAGTTGTGCTCTACGTCATGCTGATGGAGAGTGCCTGCATCTGATCCAATACACAGTAGTAACAGGATGGAAAATACCAGTTAACGAGTTTCAGATGTGAATTAGCTAAAATGTAATATGAAATTAGTTTTACATGTTCAGAAGAGTTCAGAATGCCAAAGGCGGCTCACATTCTGTTTCTGGAATCTCAAGTGTGCTGTTGGGTGGACTTATCTAGTCATGAGTGTCTTCTGTGCCCACTCCATCCAAGACCGCGGCCCTCAGCTGCATGTGGAGAGCCAGCGTTGTAAATGTGACTGATACCCAAGAAGCCGAAATTCAGATTCACATTTAATTCATTTAGAGTTGAGTGCCCGCCTTCAGCTGGCCGTTCCTGCAGTGACTGACATTTTTGTACACTCCTGTTTTAGCATTTATTGTCTGGGTTTTGCCTCCCATTTTATCAGCACTTGACTGTGTGGTGTCAGATCTTGTGCAAATTGGACCAACAGACAACACGGAAACAGTATTCTTTTTTTTTTTTTTTTAAAGATTTTATTTATTGTGTATACAATACAGTGTGCTGCCTCCATGTAAGGCTGGCTGCAGGCCAGAAGAGGGCACCAGATCTCATTGTAGATGGTTGTGAGCCACCATGTGGTTGCTGGGGATTGAACTCAGGACCTCTGGAAGAACAGTCAGCATCCTTAACCTCTGAGCCATCTCTCCAGCCCAACAGTATTTTTTTTAAGACTATTTTTTCTTCCTTTGGCATATTTTTTTTTCATTTTTACATTTTTAATCTCTGTCTTGTGTGTGCGTATACAAATGCCATGACATGCCTCTAGAGGTTGGAGGATAAACTTGCAAAATGTGGATTCTGGGGATTTTACTCAGGCTATTAGTCTTGGCAGCAAGCTCCTTTATCCGCTGAGCCATCTAGTTTGCCTTCCTTTGGTCTGTTTTTGCACCAGATACCTACCACACTGTCTCTAAGAACTAATTAAATACGTGTTCCTGTCTGTTTTCTCCCTCAAGCTTGTCATGGCCACTCTTGACACTGTCTGTTTTCACAGAAATGTTACAGCTCATTGCTTTTCACAAAATATCGGTCATTGTATCCACTTATAAACATAGGATAGTTTTCTAGTTACTTAAGTCTTCAATTTGTTCAGTAGAGTGGGAACCTTTTCTGTGTTTGAACCTTTCCTTAGACTTTGTTTGTTAAATTTATTCCTAGCTATTTGTTGGCTATTAATAAAGGTATTAGTTACTAGTTCATGCTCTAGTTTTTGTTGTTTATAGAAATACATTTGAACTGGGGATGATGGCACTCGCCTTTAATCTCAGCATTCACAGGCGGTAGAGGCAGGTGGATATCTGAATTCAAGGCCAGCCTGGTCTACAGAATGAGTTCCAGGACAACAAAGGCCACACAGAAACCCTGCCTTCAGAAACAAAAATAAAAATAAACAAAAAATACATTTGATTTTAAGTTATTATATCAAGCAACTGTAGGAAGTTACTTACTCTTGGATTTTTATTTTATCTAATTCTAAGCATTTGCTTCTAATGAGAGATTTTTTCCTGATTTTTTAAAAACAATTTTAGTGATTTTTAAAAGCTCTATTATGTGTGCATGTCTCTGTGGGGAGGTTTATGTGTGTGTTCAGTTAGCCCACGGCAGCCAGAAGTCATTATATTTCCCTGGAGCTGAAATATCCTCAGATTGTAAGCTGCCTGATACCACAGCTGGGGACTGGCTTGGGTCCTCTGCAAAAGCCATGTATCATCTGTCTGTCTGTCTAGATAGATATGTCTATATGTACAATTGTCTGTCACCTGTCTAGATAGATATGTCTATACGGGTAGATATGTCTATATGTACAATTGTCTATCACCTGTCTATATAGATAGTCTGTACAGGTAGATAAATATGTATCTATGTGTAGCTATCATCTCTCTATCTAGGATCTAACTGTTGAGCTATCTTTCTAGTCCCCATTTCAACCATCTTATTTCTTTCCGTATTGCTGCCCTAACCATGACCCCTGTTTGCAGGAACAGAGGAGCTTTGTTTTACCTTGTTTGTAGAGGACTAGACTGAAAGTAAGCCAACAATAAAACAAAATACATAGAGAGAGTCTTTATGTTTTCAAAATAGTTAAAACTGTCCTGTGTCTTGAGAATTTGTATTAATTGAAAAGTGCTGTTCACTAACACAATTAAATAAAAGGGGCTGTTTTTCAGAGGGAGTCTTGAAGCAGAGAATGACTGTAGTCAGGAAGGAAATGTTTAGTGCCTTGGCAAATGTAAAAGAACGTTATTGTGTTGACCGTACCCAGGTGTAAACTAACCATCTCTCTCCGATCTCTTTAGGAGGAGTAGAGATGAAGGTACACATACACACAAAATTTTGCCTCATTTGTTTGCTGACATTTGTTTTCCATCATTGCAACCACTGCCATGACGACCATGACCATGGCCCCGAGGAGCTGCACAGACACCACCGTGGGATGACGGAGTCGGAGTCCAGCAAGTTTTCAGTACAGGATGCTGAAAATGAAAAGAAGTACTATATTGACAAACTTTTTGACCGTTATGGTGAAAATGGAAGATTATCATTTTTCGGGCTGGAGAAACTTTTAACAAACTTGGGCCTTGGAGAGATCAAAGTGGTTGAGATTAATCACGAGGATCTGGGCCACGATCATGTGTCTCACTTAGACATTCTGGCGGTTCAGGAGGGGAAGCATTTTCATTCACACAGCCGCCAGCATTCCCACAGTCATTTCAACGCCGAGAACCGCACTGCGACCAGTGTGCCTGCACAGAGAAACCACAGGTGCGATCCGGAGAAAGAGGCGGCTGAAGTCCCCAGCAAGTCTGATGACAAACACCTGCATGACCACAGTCACCGCCTCCGTCATCGCCACCGCTCACATCACCACCTGGATCAGAACACGACTCAGCGTCTCCACAATGATTCTGTCCCTCACAGTGAGCACGGCGAGCCGGGTCACGGACCTTCCACAGAGACCAACAGAACCCAAGAACAGTCTGAAGTGAAGCCGTTGAAGGTCAGGAAAAAGGAAAAAGGGAAGAGGAAGAAAGAAAACTCGGAAGCTAACACACCAGGTTTCCTCCCCAACCATGACCACAGTGAGCAATACGAGCATAATCGGGTTCACAAGCCTGACCGTGCACATAGCCCGGGTCATCCGCATGCACACCTTCCAGAGCGTGATGCCCACGGACACCAAGATCTTGATCCTGATATTGACAGTGAACTTCGGCATACGAGAAAGCGAGAAGCTCCGCATGTTAAAAAAAGTGCAATTTATTCCACTGCTAGCCACAAAGACCACAGTGAAGATGACCGCCAACATGAAGTAGGTATAAAACGGATTCCGTGGGGCCGTGGTAGTCCTTGGTGGTTCTCGGGTAGTTGTGGAGCAGTTTAGGTTTGGATAAGGAGTAGTTACTTGTGGAACGTCAAGTAGGATTAAGGAATTAAAATTTTTTTAATATTTATTTATTTATTATGTATACAAAATTCTTTCTGCGTGTATGCCTGAAGGCCAGAAGAGGGCACCAGACCTCATTTCAGATGGTTGTGAGCCACCATGTGGTTGCTGGGAATTGAACTCAGGACCCTTGGAAGAGCAGGCAATGCTCTTAACCTCTGAGCCATCTCTCCAGCCCTCAATGTTGGAAATTCTTAGTCACTGTTTTATTTATTCTCAAATTTGTATTCCTCAAGTCTAAATATTTAAATGTTGTTTGGAAATATATTCTTAGTTTCTTTTGCAATGTTGTTTTAGGAATTCCGACTCTAATTGACAGTTGTCACTGTTAATTAATACTATGGCTGGTTTTTAAATATTTGAAAATTAAAACATGTTTTCTCTTGAACAACCTGGCCTTTTTGAAAGTAGCCAGAACAGTTTATGTTGCATAATTATTAATGTATTGAAATCCATTAATGGTTTCCAGCGTTTTATCTTCTGAGCTTCTGTGCATGCATTGGGCCTCTGGTCTCGTTTCTTTATGATAAGGCCTGTTGTGCTCTCCGTGGTTGCTTAGGCCTTCCCAGGCCTGGCTGGATGGAGCGATGAGTGGTGGGAAGTGCCCTGACTCCGGGAATGCTCTTGTTCTCCTCAGTCCTCAGGCTGTGGAGGGCTTTGCACTTTTGATTGTTTCCTCCTTGGTTTTTAAAGTGTAGTCTTGGGTTATATGTCTGCCAGTCCTACTTTTCTTCTGATTTCTAGCGGTCCCGTTCAAGTTCAGAAGCGCTTTGACTTTGTTTGTTTGTATGAACGGTGAGCAGCACCATCAGATGGGGGAGGGAGGGGAGGGCGAGTTGACTGCCTTCGAGATTACGTGCATCTGCGCGAGTTCATTGCCCTTCTTCCTGGCTAACTCAGCAGACACCTGATGCCGTCAGTTACAAACAGTCGTTTTAACAAGAAGCTACGTCAAAGTTTTAATGAGATTTCAAAGTGTTCATTTGTTATTATGGGTAAGACCCCCATGCCTTCCCTATGTGATATCATGCTGTGTTCTCATATTTGCTCAGTGTGTCAGACTCAGGAGGTCTTCATGCTGCTGTCCTGGCAGATCTGACGCCCCCGCACCCTGGAATTTGTGAAAATGTTTTGAGCGTTGAGTAGGGTAGTACCTCACAGTTACTAAGACCTGAGAGTAGGTTTTGATTTTGTATGACATGGTTATTTTGAGCTCCTGAAAAGATGGAGGTACTTAGGCAATAAAGAAGTATGTAACCAGACCAGGTAGCTATAAGAAGAAAAGAAAGGATCTAGTTCCTTAATCTTAATATAAGACATTAATTTTTACTTTATACTTTATATGATAGATCCAAATTTGTATAACTGCTTTCTGCTTTGTTTTTGAAATATCAGTGGATACACACACACACACACACACACACACACACACACACACATAGTACTGAGATTAAACCCAATCCCCAGCTACTCCCCTTTTTCATCGTCCTTGTTTCCCTCAGTGCACATGGCACACTGGACTAGAACAGGAGAGTGTGTGTGTGTGTGTGTGTGTGTTCTAGTGGGTTGCTGTTACTATTTTCCTGTTGTGCTGATCAAACTCATTGAGCTAAAGTGTCCCCGACTATTCAATATAACACTCTCCTGGCATGCCTTCGGCAGGAAACATGCCTGTGCTGATGGTTTTTGTGTCATCGATGCTGCATTTTGGTAAGGAAGAGCCCTTCTGATCTCTGTGAATCTCCATGTGTTAGAATAGAAAAATGGGTAGAACCTCTAGAAAGCCTTGAGTAATCTAGTAGAATGAATCCCTGTTAAATCTTTACATAAATTCCTGTGGAAAGGATGATTCTTATGTGTTTGTATTGCATTATTTTCAAGGGCTATTTGAAATGTTTTAATTGTACAGTAATTTACTTCTGCACAATCTGAAGACCTGCTTACACTCACTTTCTTTTCTCCATTTCCTGGCAGTGTCTGAACGTCACTCAGCTGTTAAAACACTTTGGTCTTGGCGCCAACTCTCCCATCTCCCCCGATTTGTTCACGTACCTTTGCCCTGCATTGCTCTATCAGATTGACAGCCGACTTTGTATTGAGCATTTTGACAAACTTTTAGTTGAAGATTTAAGCAAGGATAAAACTCTGGTTCCTGAAGATAAGGCGAATATAGGGGCGTCAGGTAAGAGACCCTTTTTTCTTCCTTAGATAGTACTCATAGTGTCTCATAAACTGTGTTAGTTAAAAAGGAATACTACCTTGTTGTTTTTTAGTGTAAGATTTTAATGTTCTATCATATTTAGATATGCATATAAAATACAGTTGGAGAGAAGAGGCTGAGTAAATTTTAATTTTATTCTTCTGGTCGTCTTAGAGGAATGGTTTTTTGGACAGAGAACAAAATTAAAGAGGAAGTAAAAATCTTCTTGACGAGCACCTGTAAATAATGGACCCTCTAAAGTTATCTGAAGTTACGATTATTTGATCTTATGCAGGGGTAGGGCTTTGTGAAAGCAAAGATGATTGGATTCAAAGAGTGAACAGGAGGTTAGAGGCTGAAGAGTGGGAACATCTCTGTTGTGCCTGTGGTTGGGCTCCCAGCTTCCTCCCGGCCACTTCCCCCAGGTTCTGATGGGGTGAAACCAATACTGTCTGTTGTCTCCTCCTAGGCCAGGGGCAGAGTAACTTCTCGCCTTGTCCACAGGACTTCTCTCCTAACATCACAAAATTCTACTGCGTGACAGTTTACTGTAGCTCTCGTGGACCTGAACTCCACCACCATTCTTTTGAGAGAAGTGAGAACTTCCTTCCTTCTATAATGTTTCTCCTTTTTCTCTTGGGCACCCAGGAGTCTAATCTGGACATTTTCTAACCCCGTGGACTTGACTGTCACCTTTGCTTATGTTCGTCCTGCTTTGTGATTGTCGGAATAGCTTCATTTCCTCTTGCCTGTTATGTTCTTCCTCCTTACAAGGCATTTCTGACACTTAAACTCGATTTATTTTCTAAGATGTGAGTGAGATCCTGTCGCATAGAAGTGGTTTGTTTTTGACATTGCATTAGTAATGTTGTTTCTTTGCTTTATAAACACTTTTCGCAGGCCCGTCTTCTAAACTCAGTTAATTCACTCCTCCCAGCATTCTTAGAAGGCGGGCAGTATTATTTTTCCTATCATACCAGACAGTAGATAGTTGTGCTAGGCTTCAACCTGTATAATTAAGACATTTTAATGTTGATATGCCAAATGTTTTATATGCTTTTTTCCTCACTAAATTTCAGCAAATGATCCTGAGATAAATTTTGTGATTGCTTCTTTAGTTTTATTTTTTCACATGTGGTTTTGTTTTCTGTTTAGACAGAAACCAAGGCATAGAGAAGTGAAGTAACTTGCCCACTTAATGCGTGACAGCCCACAAACACGAAGGATTGTCTGAGAAGAATTGTGGGTAGCTCATTCTTATCCATTTCCTTCTGGATTTAGTTGAATCCTGTCTTCCCTCTATGATTTTAGCCTTGTCTTCACATTGCTTATACTTTGTGTTACATTGCTGCTACATCTTTTTTTCATGTGCACTATACTGTGCCCTATGGGGTCAAGGTTAGAAGCCTTAGGCTTTCTCTACTGCTCGCTCACTTCCTACCCGTCCCTCTCCTTTCTCTTTTCTCAGTAAGCTTAGCTAACAGCTGGTTGTTATTTTTCTTCCGTTCTTTACCTTCCAAGTTTCAGCTCAGGCATTAGATGTTCTGTGCTAATTTACTCTTCGCCCACAGCTCAGCCGGGTTCCCTTGTCAGCACATCTACCTGTTTCCTATTAGTAGGCACGAGGGGGTCTCCCCCGCCCCGGTGTTTCTGTACAGGGTTGTAGCCCTGTGTAGCCCTCACTGTCCTGGAACTCACATTGTAGACCAGGCTGGCATCGAACTCGCAGAGACCCACCTGCCTCTGCCTCCTGCGTGCTCAGATTAAAGGCGAGTGATTTAGATAAATGTGTTTTTGTTGGCCCTCAGTTAAAGATAGTGACTAGGTATTAATAACTCTCTACATGTGAGGAGAGCTTTAGATAAGAAACAAGCACTTGTGTTGATTCAATGAATAAATTGTTTAATATTAGCCTAGAAGCTCTCTGTTACATTCTAGGAAGAGGTTTATTGAAGTTCATTAAGTATGTAATGAGAATAGTAAAATATTCTAAAAATTGTAGTTTCCATAAGTCCTTATCCATATGCAAAACTACAGGTGTATCACTGAGCTTAAGATAACGAACACAGTTGAGGCTGAAGTACTAAGGGGGTTTTGATCCTAGGGCATGGTAATTAAAGTTTCTTAGAACGGTATTGATGGGTATGGATAAAGATTGAATTCTAGCATGGTAAAGGACAGAATTAAATAATAGACGATTATTACATAGTGATAAAGTAGACACTATTAGGAATATCTGATTCTCATTTAAGAGAATGTTATTTGGGATACAGATAGTGTAACATCCTGGAACACTGCAAATAAAAGCAAATGTTCTCTTACCAAGGGCAGTCAGTCTTCTCAGTGTGTGCATTTGGTACATTTGTTTGTATTATTGCCCCCCTTTTTTCCCCAGTGGGAAAATAACCTTGGACTAGATAAATAAACTATAATAGGCTACATTTATTGGGACCTCTCTCTCTCTCTCTCTCTCTCTCTCTCTCTCTCTCTCTCTCTCTCTCTCTCTCTCTCTCTCTCACGCAGTGTTACCCAGGCTGACCTTGAACTTGGGCTCAGGTAATTTTGCTTCAGCCTCCTGTAGCTGTGACCACAGGTTGTGCTTCTGTTCCTGACTCTGATTTATTTGTTAAAGCCTCAAGGTAGCCACGTCCTTCTCTCTGTTTTGTGAGGCTGTGCGCACAGCTGCCAGCCTTGAAGGGTGAGCTCTAGGTTCCCACGTGGTGTTTAGAGCCCTGTCCCTGTCTGGTGCTGCGGGTCCTCTTTCTTAGGAGGATCTGATCGCTTTACTGCCATGTGAGCGAGAGCAAAGCGAGCAGCTGGATACAGTTTTATTAATGGCTTTTTGTGTAGGCCTAAGAGGGAAGGGTGTAGAGTGTTGGTGTGACTCTGGTTCTCTGTGTTGATTAGTAGTTGAAAACCCTCAAGAACAGTCTTAACCAAATATGTGCGCATGCCCTGTAATAAAAAACGTAAAAGGCAGACACAGGTGGCTCTCTGAGTCCAAGGCCAGCATGGACTACTTAGTTCAGACACCGTATTTAAGAAAAATAGAAAAAAAGAAAGAAAAGATAAATCCTCAAGCCTGGCTTCATGCTGGTAGGAAGGGCAGAGGCTAAGAGAGCACAGTTGGATTTGAATGTTCACGTGCAGAAGATCTAATTTGCCCTCTTTCTTGACTTCCCGTCTATTGTTCTGTGTAGATGGGAGTCCGACAGTTCCTCTCACTGCCACAAAAGGGGAACTAGAGATTAAGTTTAATTGGAAATAAAATGTGCTTTTTCTTATAGGGAAAAATGGAAACTAACAAGATTGTTTCATTCCTAGTTAAAACCAGTAGTGTTTTTATTTTGAAGGAGTCTAAAAAAAACCCCGGGCTTTTGTTTCCATACCAGTGGTGAACTGGGGCTTTAATTAGCGTTGTCTCTGCTGTGTTGTCCATAGCCCACACTGAAATGAGGCAGCTGACAGGCATGCAGCTGGTCATGCTGCAAGTTACAGCCTTTTCAGTTCGAAAGCCTTAGAGGAAATGTGCTTGTTTCTGAAATCAAGTATGCTGCAAATAGTGAATATTGATTAGTTGTTTGCAGGTGGTTTTTAGCATTGTCAGAAATGCAGCTTGAATTAATTATGTCGTGATAGATGTTAATAATTGTTAAGGAAAATGCCCTGCTAGTAATTATTTTTAACGACTGCTGCACCATTCAGGAGGGTTAACTTGTTTTATATAAATCTCCCATAGTGACTCAGCTACTACCTCATTAACTTTGTTCAAAGATTGCGGTAAACCAGGTACCCTGAGTGGTGTGCTCGGCAGAAACCGTTTGTTTCACAGGATTGGCTCATGTAGTCTCAGGGTTGACCCTTGCCTAATTACCAAGGGTTCTGAAGAGGCTGCTAAGCAGTTTCTGCCAATTAAAATGCTGAAACAGTGGAAACTGCTATCTTGCACATGCTTTGCACCAAGTTAATTAGAAAGTTTCCACAGATGAGCGCGTCTTTGTGAAAGAATGCATTTTCTCTCTGGTAATGAGAAGAGGAGCTGGGAATAACTAAGCTTGAAGACCTCTAACGTTTCGAGCAATCTAATTTGTGGAGTAAGTGGAGCTTGCTTCAGACACTTGGCTCTTTTTATTGCATATGGTATCTTGGGTACAAATAAAGAACATTAGCTAGTTGTATTTAATAGTTTGTTTATTGCTTGCTAGGTATCAGTTTTCTAAAAGATACCTTTACAGCTGTGTTTTACACAGCATAAATTGTGATTAGAAAAACACAATTATTTGGTTAGAAATTGAAAAAAAATTGCAATGCTTTTCCCCCTAGTGTATTTAGAAATTAGGAGCTTACGTAAGCTAAAAATCGGTGAACAACCTGGAAAGATATTTCTAAATAGAGAATATTCAAAACAGCCTCAACTTCTGGGTCAGAAGAATTGTTATTTTCCATGAAAAAGATTAGTAACTTGCTAGGAAAATGCACAAATTTATAGTAGTAGAGAACTGAGATTTTTTTGAGAAATTAAAAGTAAATAATTGGAAGGGGAAGTTTATAGTAACGCACACATACAGGAGGGGTCGCACTGGTTCCGCTAGTGAAACAGTGTGGAATAGCTGAGCTATAGGGGCTGTCTGGGTGTTTCTGAGTTTTTATTTACTTTTAACGTGTTTAGGGATTTGCTTGCATATATGTCTGTGCTCCATGCATACGCCTTGTGCCAGGCTGAGGTTACAGATGGTTCCCCAGGAACTGTAGTTACAGTGGCTGTGAATCACCAGTAGGTGACAGTTCACGGCAGATAAATGATTCCCCTTCCTCCCTGTTTGTGACCTCACGGTAAGTGTGAGCGCTGGTGATAGTTTTAGGTCGTTATACAACATTATCTTCATCTTTCTTACAGTTAGCTCAGATTTGGAGCTGTCATGTAGATTAACTAGCTGTTAACATTTCTTCTTACTTTTAGGCATAATTTTCCTTAGTTTGTCTTGCTTATCTTTTTTTCTTTTTTGTGAGACCTCTCTTCGTAAGTAAATCATAAGTGACATATAACACTTAGCCAAGTGTTCTCGGGAAGTACCATGACTGAATGAAGGAGACAGTGAGTCAGAGCTTGAGGACTGGGCTAGGTATCCTGTTACCATCCCATCTCTGACCAGTTATGGCCAGCCCTCGTGTTCTTCTGAGGCAAGTCCCTCGCTCCTGTGTTTAATTGACTTTCTCAAATAGCTAATACTATGTTAGATGTTTTACCACATTTTTTAAAAGTTAAACCAACAAAATGGGAATTTTTTTCCTTCCATTTTTAGCGTTAAAATAGAACAATTTGGTCTTAGTTCTTATTGAGTGTACAGTTGGTTGGTATTAAATAGACTCCTAACAATACTGCTACAGGTATCTCGTAACTCTTCAGCTGCCAGACTGGAACCTTATTCCCATGAAGCTTTACTGAACTAAACAAATGCGGCCCATCTTTATACAGCTAGACAAGTGTGCTGCAACGCCATAGCTGTTCCCTGTGGGCTCACACAGCTCCCCATGCTCATGATTAGTTTGTGTCAGCTGCTGGTGGCTGGTATTCATCTATAGTGTGTTTAGTGCAGCCATTGGCATATTGAAAACTTGATGTCTATTGAGTTAGATTTTGTTCAGTTGACTGCTTGACTCTCGGATAGCTGACCAAGAGCCATTTGAAATTGCTGTAGCAGAACATTACAATTTGTGTGAATTCATAGAATGTTTCCTAGGCTTTTTATTTTCACATCCAAGATACTCCTAGCCAGAAGTTAGCATGAGCGTAGTAGAAGCACTGCTTAAGACAGTGTTCCTTTTGAGAAGTTTAAGTAGTAGATTTTTCTCTCTTTTTCTTTTCTTTTTTTGGTTTTTCGAGACAGGGTTTCTCTGTAGGATTTTCTCTCTTTATCAAGCAGTATTTTTCCCCTCATACTAGGTTTAAACTCAGGCCCTGTGAATGCTTAGTATTCCACCATCAGCTGGACCTCAGCTCTGTGAGCAGACGCTTACTCTATGCTAGTTAATGTATATGTTGTTTAATTGCACAGACACCAATAGAGACTGGTCTTCCCAGTTACTTTACTGCCTCTTCCTTTAATTCTTTATTGAAGCTGCTTTCCAGTCACTGTCTTGAGATAAGCTGGGTCTAGGCTGGAGCATTGCCAGCGGCGGATAATATCTTTGGAAAGGAGTCAGACATGACTGCAGAAGACATTTTGCCTCTGTTTTTGTTACCAACATTGCTTTGTCCCATTAGTACAGTTTCTCTTTAATCTTTCCTTATCCCGTGAATATGATTAAAGCTAGAAAGAGCTTGGGTGCTTTTAATAAACCTTAGCTACTTTGTTAGTTTACTGACTTCAAAATCTTAGGTGTGAAGTTTAGTGAGGCCCCTTGAGGCAGGAGAGATGGCTCAGTGGTTAAGAGCACTTGCTGTTCCCCAGGCTCAGTTCCTGCTATCAACATGGTGGCTCACAGCCGTATATAAACAGTTCTGGGGATGTGACGCCCTCTTTGGCCTCCTCCGGCACTGCACAACATGTGGAGAGAAAATACTCATCCACAAAATGAAAATAAATATTGTGGCCCTTTCTTTGACCCATTAACACTGCTGGGCTTTCTCATAGGTTTCCTGTTGTCGCCAGTGGACAGAGGTGCAGAGATTTTGCTGTCATTATTAAATGAGCTTTGACCTTGGATTTTTCTTCCTGAAAAATTAGTGTGTCCTGTAAATAACATGTAATAACATCAGGTGGAAGAGTCTCCTTTTAATCCCTAGGTTTCAGAACTGTTGCTTCTGCAATATTTCCCTGACCTAAGATTTTTGGAAAGCAACGGAGTTTCTGTTCTCTCGTTTTCTCAAAACGTTTGCAATGGTGAAATTTGAGTCTGGGTCTAGTGTCATGACCTCGTCCCTGTGGTGTTAGTTACGTGTTTGGGTCATATCTGCTAGTGGCTATCTGTTAAGAGAGTAAGCCACAAAGCTTCCCATTGGGGTGACCTCTGTGTTCTGAGTGATCTAACAAGGACTTACTGTCCTTTTGACTGTCAGCTGGCGCGCGCCATGGCATGCTGACTCCCATGTTCTGCAGTGAACACAGAACATTTGTTCTGGAGAAGCTGATGGTATGTCAGTGCACATCGTGGCATCGTCTACACGGTCTTCACACGCCCTTGCGGTACCGGGCCTCATGCCTGCCAACACTGCCACTGCCGCGTGGTCGAGCCCTTTTCTATTTTACTCTTGCAGGGTCTTGCTAAATTGCCAAGTCTAAACTTGAACATGGCAGTCCTCTGCCTCATCCTCAAGTAGCTAAGAGTACCAGAGTGAACCGCCACACCTAGCTGAGAGTCATTGCTTATAACAATGAAGCTACAGTTTATGGTGCTGTTTTGTTAATCATATGGATACACTTCATTTGAAGCTGATACATTGTAAAGTTATATAATTCTCTTGTGAAATGACTTTATGTCGTAGACAAGCATGGGCACTATGTGTGATTGTTCTGGAAGTGTCTATGTTGGCTGTCCACCATGTCTTTGTCTCCTTGGCTCGCTCAGCTGTTTAATGAGAGCTCCTGGACTAACGCGACTGTTTCCCTGCAGCGTGGATCTGCGGCATCATCTCCATCACTGTCATCAGCCTGCTCTCCCTGCTGGGCGTGATCCTGGTACCCATCATCAACCAGGGATGCTTCAAATTCCTCCTCACCTTCCTTGTGGCGCTGGCTGTAGGGACGATGAGTGGAGATGCCCTTCTTCATCTGCTGCCCCACGTAAGAAATCTTTCTGATGTGCTAAAAGTGGCACGTAAAGATGGTAGCGTTGAGAGTGTGGAGGGTAGCCTCCGCAGCAGTTCCTGTTTGGTTGTGTTCTTACGGGTAGTTTAACTGCATTTTTCAAATAAATTGAACCATTGGGTTTTAAATGGTACCAGGAGTGTTAGATTATTGATCTTTGCTGTATGTTAAGAAATGCATGTGGCACGTTGTATTGATCTCGCATCTAGCCGGGAGGGCACAGGTGAGCATTCGAGTCAGTGGCTGATTCATTTTTACTTTTGCTAGATATTTGTGGTTGAAGTGGTGACATTAATTTCTGTTTACAAAGGACTCATTACTTTTTGTTATCTCTCTCACTGAGTTTTCTCACCCTTAGAGGCATTTGTTTTATCATGGAATACAGTAACTTCGTGTGATCTAAGATCAGTGAAGTGCTGTGAGATTTAAAAGCTACCCATAAGTCACATGTGGGCTCCGACACTTTGATCTCTTAATTAACCACCGAGCCATTCTTCCAGCTCCTGCTTTGATCTCACAAAAGTTGAGAGTAGAGGAAGCTGAATGGCAGGAGGGATGGGAGAGCTTGACCTGTCGGTGGCTCAGTGAGGGTTAGTGGGAGATGTAGTAAGCTCTGCCATCCTTTAGCGCAGTAGAGGTGTCTGGAGGGGCGGATGCGGGGAGCATAGGTGAACTGGAGGTGTGGAGGGGAGGATGCGGGGAGCATAGGTGGACTGGAGGTGTGGAGGTGATGTGTGTGGAAGGGCTCCAGTTGGTTTTTCACCATAGAGAAAGGATAAATGACTTGAACCTTGTATAATACATGCATCAAAATATTCAAGGAACCCAATAAGTTTGTGTAGTTATCTATTAGTAGAAAGTTTAAAAATTAAACTGAGAATATAGTCTTTCTATGTCTGTAGATGTTATGGTCAAAATTTGGAATGATTTCCATTGTTTTCCTCACTAATAGTCTCAGGGTGGACATGACCACAGCCATCAGCATGCGCACGGGCACGGCCATTCTCACGGGCACGAGTCGAAGAAGTTTCTGGAGGAGTATGATGCCGTGCTGAAGGGACTGGTCGCCCTGGGAGGCATTTACCTACTGTTCATCATCGAGCACTGCATTCGGATGTTCAAGCACTACAAGCAGCAGAGAGTAAGTGCCTTCACGAATGTTTATTAGGTACAGCTCTAAAGAACAGCTTCTCTTTCGGAACATGCGGTTTTCCTTGGCATGGTGTTCTGTGTATTTCCTCTCTACCTTTCCCTGTCTCTGACCTGTGTTGCTTCGTCATTGCGTGTACTCTGGCCTTTAAGTCACAGTCTAGCAGTGTCTGAGACTGCGTTTCATCATACCTGAGGACTTACGGAACAGGAAAGCCGCTGACCAGTTATACTCTTAAGAGTGAATATGGAAACAGGTCTCATGAGTCTTCTCTTTTGGTTTTAAGTGACTTTCGCTATATTATCTATGGTGAAGCTTTTTTGTACAATACCTTCCTTATCATAAAAACTTGGCCAGTAATAGAAATAGCAGCGGGAAGAAGGAGTCAGAATAATAAGACTCGCTTGCGAGTCAGCAAGGGAAACTCTAGAACTAGTAAATCTTTTTACTACGGATACACTGCTTGGGAGAAGATGGCTTCACCACCCTGATTGCCTGCAGCTGTCTGTGTCTGTCAGAAAGCTGATTTAGAGCTACTCCCGTCCGCTGTTCACACTGGTTCTCGTTAGCCTAAACAGAATGTCACAGTACACGTCTGTATGTTTGAGGTAGTGACACATAGGTAGCCCCCATATATATACAGATGGACAAGAGTTACAAATGTCTTCCATCATGTTAATTCCAAATGGAATTTTTTTCTTCCCAGTACTCTGCGTGTTTATGTGCATGCACACATACATTTTTGTGTGTGTTCCTTTGACACAAAGTAGACTTGGAACAGCTCTCCGAGCCAGGATGAGGGGAGGTGACTAATTCTTACAGCATGAGTTGTCTGGCAGTCTTTGATTGTCATGGTCTCCAGTTGCCGTCTAAGCAAGAGGGACGTTTCATTTCAGGTCACTTTGGTTCCTACTGCTTGTCTTCAAAGGAGGACTGGTTAAGATGAGAATCCCAGAAAACTTTTCTGTGGAATGTGGTGGTGGTCCGGTAAAAGAAGCCAGAGAGGGTGGACTTAAGAGAAATGAAACAGAGCCAACCACATATGAATGAAATGATTGTAGTTACATTTTATGTGAGAAACACTATTTCCAGCAGATGGGTGGGCAGTCAGGTGGTGAAGAGAAGCCGCAGGGCTGCAGGAGGAGAGTCATTTACAGAACAGTGACAGGGCTGGGTCAGGGCCACCGCACAGAGAATGGCAAGGAGGAGGTAAGGAGTGGAATAAGAGTCCGTAAGACTAGATTAGCGATGAGATAATAGTTACAGGTGTAACACTGTCATGTAAGAAGCACATCTCAGATGCAGGATAGGGATTTGGTGAGAATATTTGATGATGTAAACAAAATTAAGTAACAGTCTGAGTATAGAAGGGGCAAGTTTGGCTTTCTGGCAGGCGATTGTGATAACCCCGGCTGCCGTGGCGCTGAGTCGGGAACCTGTGAATGTGATTCCTTTCTGGTTCAAGACTGCAGGGTGGCTAGTCATCTTAGTATGGTGGCAGAGCAGGCACACTGTTCCTACCAAAGGATAGCAGAACTGATAAATGCTGCAGTCCAGAAAACAGGCTTTCAGCTGACCAAAAAAATACAAGATGAGAAAGGAATTATGCCAGAAATTGTATTCCAGTAGCTTCAGGTTGAAGGGGGAAATAGGGAAGATTTCCGTTTAGAATTAATCTTGTTAAAATGTTCCTAAAACCTGGCCAAAGCTGCAGTTCGGTGCAAGGTGGTTAGTGGCAGTCTTCATAGGACTAGAGAAAACTTCCAAAATTCATATGAGAGCAAAGACCCCAAAGCCGAAGCAGTCTGAATTGGCAGAGGGCTCCAGTTCGGACTTCAGAACAGGCCGCAGAGCCACACGGCCAGGCCCTGCAGTAAGTGATGCTGGAATTCCTCAAGCAAAGGTTGAAACTAGACACTCATCTGACGCCTCTTACGGAAATCAGAGGCCTGAGAACATAAAACTGCTAGGAAGAAGCAAGGGGATCCTTTCCAGCTATTGGTTAAACTGAGTTTTTCTAAGTATAGTACTCAAAAGTACGAGAAATGAAGATAAAATTGATCAGTGGTGTTGCAGTAAGTGCAAAAGCCTCCTGGACAGCACACCTGCAGAACAGGAGAAAATCCTGAACATGATCATCTATCGGGATTCTGTCCTTCATAAGGAGCTCAGAAGCACTTAGAGACCCTTACACTAATGATCCCGTTGACAAACAGCCCGATAGGCATGTGTCTTAGACACGGCCAACATTACTACTCAACAGATAGAACTCGGAACTGCAGGGAAAGTCAGAGGCGTAGCTTAGAGGAGCACACCTGGCTTGCTTCTGAGGTTCCTTCCGAGCAGTGTAAAAACAAACAACCCCACAGTAGGAAATCTCTTCAGTAGTAACTAAGTACCATAAATAAAATAAAAAGGGAGAGACTTAAAGATAACAAGTGCTGAAGAGGATGTGGAGAAAGGGGAGTCTGCGTACCATAGGAAGATGGGAAAACACTGCCGTCATCGTGAAAACTGTTTGGAGGCTCCTTGGGGAATTAAAAGGAAGCCCATGGCTAGATATACATTCAAAGGAGGTGAATTCAGAATGTCCAGGAAGCATCTGCAGGCCTGTGTTGGTGTAGCGCAGTAGCCAGGAAGTGTCCGCTTAGAAAGGCACAAGAGAAAATGCCTGTTTTTATTTCCAAGCTGTTAGGAACCAGTGATTGTCGTATGTCACCTTACTAAATCCTCCCAAGATGCGTCCGTTTGTCAGGGCAGCTGTTGTATGTTCCATGTTACTAAGCGTACCCTAGCACATCTCAGAAACAGGCTACAGGTCGAGATCTGGCTTAGGTTTGAGCCTTTCCATCCAGCAGACCCAGGGAAGGGGGAGGGAGATGCTACTGGGGTGAGAAAATAGCATGAAGACCTAGGAGCTTCTGCTACTCTGCAGCACCACAGTGGTAGCGCTGCACGTAGTATTGGGTTGTACAAAGTTCAATGCCTTGTGTACTGAGCCAGTGAGACGGGTCAGTGGTCCAAAGGCTCAGCCTGACAACCTGAGTTCATACCCAGGACTCATGGTGGAAGGAGAGAGCCCTCACTTTTTCCTCTGACCTCCACACACATTCTAGCACACATGTAAACACACTGACTGTACATTAAATAAAAATGTAGTGATCAGTTAAAAAATAACTTGTGTAATAACACTAATTGCCCCCAAATGGGTGTTAATAAGGGCATATTGTTGCTAATTATTGCTGTGGATTTTATACTAATACCTGTTTTTTTTTTTTCCTCCCACAGGGAAAACAGAAATGGTTCATGAAGCAGAGCACAGAAGAATCAACTATTGGAAGAAAGCTTTCAGATCACAAGATAAACAACACACCAGATGCTGACTGGCTCCAACTCAAGCCACTTGCTGGTAGCCCACCATTCATTCCAATGAGAAACTTAAACTAGGAAGCTTGAACAGTTGTGTCTGCACAGAGTTTGACATTTCTTTTCTCTGTTGTTTTCCTCATGTGTTTTATCTTACATGAGTGTAGCTTGTAATTTTACTCATCTGTTCACCGTAGTCAATCCAGTGCTGTTCATGACCAGATGTATTTGGAACAAGAAGATTTGCTACTTTAAAAGTACCTGAGTGAAACAAAGGATGGGTCAGGCACAATGGTGCTCACTCACCTATAATCTCAGCATCGGGGAGGCAGGGCCAGGAAGAGCTTCAGCAAGGCTGCTTTGTCTCACTGTCTCAAAAAGAAGAAACAAAACTGCTAAGCCACTCTGTCCTAGTCAGAACAACTCCCAGATGAGACAGGTAGATAGTGCCAGCCCCCTGCCTCAGCCTTCCAGTGCTGGATCTGCAGGTGTGGATTACCGTCCTCGAGGGGTACTATTTCTTGACAGTATACAGTTTTCTTTATATGTGATTGGTTATAGGAGAAAAATGAAAGGTGCCTCCATAGTTAAAGGATAATGGCTTCCCCTTGTACTTAAAATCTGCAAGCCCTGTTATCTGATGGAACGATGCAGCTCAGACAGGTTTCCTAACCTCGTTTTCCAGTTTATTTACATTTGAATTTCTCTTTCCCTCACTGTGTCAGTTAGCACAGGCGGCAGCCTCCTCTAGCTGTGGAACTCTCCCAAAAGACAGTTATGCACATCCTTGTCATTAAAAAAAAAATAATGCTGGGAAATAATTTTTTAAAATAACTTATCAGATGTCATCAGCACGTTCCAACAAAGATCTGTGGGCAGCATTATCACTGGAGCACGGGTATAGAGAGCTTGGCCTTCAGCCAACTGTCTTGGGCAAGTTATTTAAATTTTAGCTGATAATTAGAAAAATTATTCTAATGAAATGACTTTTAAAGTATTTTAGGGAATTATATGCACGTGTGAATGCATCTGCTAGATGAGCGGATCCTTTCTTCCCTCGTAGGGACTGACGACTCGGTTGTTTCTGAAGATCGACTTAATGAGACCGAACTGACGGATTTAGAGGGCCAGCAGGAGTCGCCGCCGAAAACCTACCTGAGTGCCGAGGAGAAAATCATGGCCCGTTCTCAGAGCGACGGGCTCCACACCATCCACGAGCATGAGGTCCACGCGGCGTCGCGGAACCACCAGGACGAGGACAAGGCGGCGCTGAGGAAGCACACCCACCAGTGGCCCCACAAGCACGCCCATCACTCGCACGGCCCCTGCCACTCGGGCTCGGACCTGAGAGAGACGGGCATAGCCAACATCGCCTGGATGGTGATCATGGGGGACGGCATCCACAACTTCAGTGACGGGCTCGCCATTGGTAAGCGGGGCGGAGCGCAAGTTTACAATGTCTTGCCATACATGACTGCAGTTTGTTTTTCTCATTGGGAAGTAAAGGATGAATTTTGGTTGTTTTTCTGTCGCTAAACCAGTGTCTGCAGTGTATTTCTTAACGAACTTGCTTTCTCGTGGAAGTGCATTGCCTCGCTGCCTCCGTAGCGCCGCACTTCACGCGCATAGACATGCCTGCCAGAGACTGGGGGAGTCCCAGTCTTGGATTTAATAAAGTTGTCACAGCTTTGGGGAGCGAAGAAGAGTTTCATATTGAACACTAACTGACCATGACAGAGTTCTCTCTGGGATCTAGATTTTGTTAATCAGAAGTAGGCTTTGGTTTGTTTGAGAAAGCAGAAACCATGCTTCTCCTGACCACAGTAGCCGCCGACACAGTGGGATGAATCCTACATAAGCAGTGTATGTTCAAAAGCCATGGTGGGTAAGATGGCAGGTAACTAAGGAGTGGGAGACCCGGGAGCCCTGAACCTCACTCACTGTCCGCTCTGCTCATACCCTCTCCAGGGGCAGCGTTCAGTGCTGGACTGACCGGAGGAATCAGTACTTCGATAGCCGTCTTCTGTCATGAGCTGCCGCATGAATTAGGTATGAGCCAAAAGATTCTTCCTGGCTTTCATCAAATCTAGCTCGTCTCAGTTGTAAAACGCACAAGACAGAAGATCCACTGGGAAGTGGAGCCTGCCGTTGATGGCCAGGCATGTCCCACTGTTAAGACTGACAGCAACTGCTTGTCAAAGAAGTCAGTGCCTGTGCGCTCTGCTTCTGTAACGGGACACTGGGGAATGCTGATGATCATAAATTAGAAGTGTCGTTTCTCAAGCGCCTGGTGATGCTTTTAACACCCTTTTGTTTCACTTACTATGTACGTTATATTTTCTTTAGTTTGGTTTTGGTTTTTCAAGACAGGGTTCTCTGTGTAGCCTGTCCTAGAACTCAGTGACTCCCAGAGATCCGCCTGCTTCTGCCTTCTGAGTGCGGGATTAAAGGCGTGCGCCACTGCCACCTTGCACATTGTATTTTCTTGAAGAATAGGGTGAAGTTTGCTACTACAAACATCCCGTGGTTTTAAACTCCTGTGACATCTGAATTGCAGGGGATTTTGCTGTTCTCCTGAAAGCAGGCATGACTGTGAAGCAGGCGATCGTGTACAATCTGCTCTCCGCCATGATGGCTTACATAGGCATGCTCATTGGCACAGCCGTCGGCCAGTACGCCAACAACATCACCCTCTGGATCTTCGCCGTCACGGCGGGCATGTTCCTCTACGTGGCCTTGGTGGACATGGTAAGATGCTTTGGCTGTCTTTCTCTGTAATACTAACCTTGAAAGTGGAGTGCAGCTTCCAGAAATGGGAGACATCTTTGGAAGTGGCTGGAAACTTGTTTTTAAAGACTGCAACAACTTCAGTAATAATTAGAGAAAGGCATTTACCTTACAACGATTCCTTAGATGCTGAAAATTTCTAACCAAGTAATGCATAACTCAGGTAATAGCAGTATTTAGAGATGTGATTACAGAATAATGGCACTTCTCAGGAGACCTTGCGATGTCGGGGTGGACATCTTGTCACTGTTAGCCGATCTTTGGAGGCTCCTGATGGCCAAGACGAAGGAAGGACTCCTATGCGCATACCAGTCTTATGTCTGACTTGAGAGTTCATCAAGGCGTGGTTGTTTTCACTTACTCGTGTCCAGATACGACAGACACAGCCTTTCTGTGGGCTCAGTTTCCGTAGGGCTCATGTTCACCTCCAAGTAGACAAACACTAACTACCACACACGGACCTCCACTATCTGTGCCCGCTTTTCTTCCTTAGCTCTCCTAACCCTGCCTCATTTCCGTCTGTGCCTCAGAGCGACTCCTTGCAGCTCTCCTGTGCCCGCTTCTCACCTCTCAGGCAGCAGCTGTGCACTTTGAGTCTGTCCTCGGGTGCAGAGTCCACTAAGTCCTTGCTGGGCTCTTTCGTCACTTGTGTCTTCATCTAGAGCTAGCACACCGAGCATTTGACTTTATTTCTCAGGTTCCTGCTCCACACATAAGGGGGCAGGTCTGGGGGACAGGCGCTACTGTCGTCGCATTAGCTGTTGTCTGCCACTGGAGATGCAGCCATTCTGGGCAAAGACGGCCTGGCCCTTGTACTAGGAAGCTAGAAATCAAGAAACATTTCAGAGTAAGAATTTGTGGGTTTTTAAAAACAGTTTTGTTTTTTCCTTGATAATTGTATACAATATAACTTTAAACCTCTCGCCAGCTCCTCGCTGCTCCTTCCCAGCTTGGGTCAGAGTTGTACACTGAACTCTGCAGTTTGGAACTGCAGAGAAGCTGACTGAAAAGAGAACTGGAAGTCATTTTGCTTTGAGAAATCTGGGACTAGTTTAAAGGAGATGGAAGAGTTGGTTGGCAGCAAGAGGAGCAGGTGTATGAGGCCCTCAGTCCAGTGAGAGCAGGCGTCTCTGACCGTTAGTTCTGGGGAATAACGGCAGGTGACGGCCGTCTGTGCCGTAAGCAGGCAAACAGGACAGAGCTGTTCTCTGCCAGGATGCGGATGCGTCAGACACTGGCGCTGGCACAGAAGCAGCACACTCCCTGCGTGTATTTTCTAGCACGTTATTAACACAAAATGATTCTAATTAGCAGGAAAAGTTACTTAAAAATAGTATCCATAGCCGGGCGATGGTGGCGCACGCCTTTAATCCCAGCACTTGGGAGGCCGAGGCAGGCGGATCTCTGTGAGTTCGAGACCAGCCTGGTCTACAGAGCTAGTTCCAGGACAGGCTCCAAAGCCACAGAGAAACCCTGTCTCTCTGGTCATAAAAACAGGCCATAAAAATAGTATCCACAACCTGATAAAGGCTCTCGCCACCAGGCCTGGACCAGAACTCTCTGGAACACCTCGAGTTCTCAGGGCGGGCAGTTTGCCTTGAATGTTAATGAAGATTACTTACCTAAAGCATTTGAAGCCAGTCCGGCAGGTATCAGCAATAAGCAGAAGCTCTCCGCCCTGAGAACTCGGGGTGCGTGGTTCCGCTTGAGGTTCTAAGGGAGCCTCCGTGGAAATGCCTGCTTAGGGGACTTTGGGCAGTGCTGTTTATGACTGCTATGACTAAATACATTTATATCATTATATAGACATAAATATATATACATATATATAATAGTGTGTGTGTGTGTGTGAGTGGTGTCACCCTAACAAGAGTGCCAGGCAGGCTGTACCCAGAGCCCCACCCCCAGCCCCCTCCGCGGGTACACCTGAGTTCTGTGTCCCAGTCGATGCTGGTCAGCTCTTTGCTGTGCTGTGATACAGCAGCCGTGTTAGCCTATGGGGTGAAATCTGAGTGGCCGAGACCCAGAGTGCGCGTCTGTGAACCATTCTGTATTAGGGGAAGGGAGAAGGGAGAGAAACATTGCAGTAGAGCAGTCTTACGGCGTTCCCGGTGTGCTTTCCAAACGCCTCGCTAACTTCTCTCCCTTTCAGCTCCCCGAGATGCTGCATGGTGACGGTGACAACGAGGAGCACGGCTTCTGTCCGGTCGGGCAGTTCATTCTTCAGAATTTAGGACTGCTGTTTGGATTTGCCATCATGCTGGTCATCGCCCTCTATGAAGACAAAATTGTGTTTGACATCCAGTTCTGACCATTCCTGGGCTGACTGCGAGAATGTCTGTGCAGCTTGCCTCTGTTCCTTGTCCTACGCACATTGCTCAGGGAAGTCAGCGGCCTGCACTACTCACAGGTCCCGTGGGGTCGAGCCTGACCACGCAGACTGGTGCTCAGTGCTGTCTGCTCTGCGTGAATGGGCCTTTGAAAAACAGTTGTGATAAAGACAGGAGAAGATGGGACTCCATGAACCAATGTTGATAGACGTATAAGACTTTAAAAAAGAGAGAATCATATAAAACACTACTAGTCTTTTTATTAGTAGAAACTTCTGTGGCTATGCAGAAATAGAAATTAAACCAAAAAAAATCATTTAAACTTTAAAAATATTTTAAATGGACTTGGAGCAGACATTTTTGTGTGAATGCTAAGAATGAATTCTAGCGTCCTTTAATTCAGCTCCATATATACATATGGGATTAATAGGGATCAACTCAACACAACTTGGAAACTGTATAAAGTCGACTTTAGGAGCTAGAGGGAAGGCCAGGCTGCATTAGAGTATGGATTTAGCATTGGGAAAAGCCCGTATTCTTGAATCTAGAGTTACTATTTTTGTATATATTTGCATAGTGTTCAAACTTGCAGCCGAAACTACTGAAATTTGTGATTGTATGTTTGTGTGAACTTCACTTTAATGAAAGATTCTTAATGGTTCTTTGCATTACTATACTTGGTGTTGGGGTTATTTTCTTTTGTAACTTTGTTTTGATTTGTGGGGATGAGTCAGAGCATGTACAAGATATGTTTTTCTTAAAATTACCATTCTAGACAATATCAAAGGTGTGGCATTCCATCTCCCTCGTACCAACAATCGGAAAACTTAAGTTCTGAGTGTTCATGTTACTTTACCGGTTTTGCATTGGAACTCAGAGCACATGCTGTGGCTGGCAGTAAAATCCAAGTCTGCCATGCTTATCGTATACAACTTATCTGTATACAACATGTCGGCTAAACAGTTACTGCACTGGTACCATGACTGCTGTGGTGCCAAGTTCGTGATTAAGTCAAAATCACTCTCATTTTGTGCCAAGATACACTGTTGGTGCCTGGGACAGAACAGTCTATGTCTGCTGCCTGCTCTTACACCACTGGACAAGTGATGTCTGAGAAGTGTGTGCCGTGTTTAGCCTGACTGTTGACCCAGTGACTTGTAGACTAGTCATGTGCAGACATCTCTGTCCATACCTCATGCCACTCGCTCCTCACTTCTGCAAGGAACCTGTGTCTGAACCGTGTGCAGCTAGCTTTACTTTACCTGCGCGGCAGTCAGGAGAGCCCTTGGGGAAAACAGACAACAAACCGTCAGAGCCAAACCCCGTCCATTCCATTTTAAATGTTTTCAAAGACAAAAACAAGAATAAGAGCGGCGCATGCATGCAGGTGTTAGCGGATACTCGTCAGTATTCATTATGTTCTAAGCGAGGGTGCCTCGGTGTATTTCTCCTGTAATTTATGCTTGAATGAACAGTTGTCCTTTTCTGAGCCCCCGCTCCCCTGAAGTAGTGGTCTGTCCACGTTTTCAGCCCTGGGCACAGCTAGGACAGTCCTCTCGCCTCGTTGCTTGGCCGTTTGAGCAGCCTGCTGAAAGGTGCTGGCCTACTGAGAACTGCCAACTTCAAGTGACTTACATATTTTGCTTTCAAAACCAAGATATGTTTGTTTGTGGTTCATTTTTGAGCTTTACACCCCAGGAGGATTGTGCATCCCAGCAGTAAATCTGCTTCATTTAAAACAACGGCTAGAATAGCCCATTCTGAAATGCCTGATTTAAAGCCCATCAGTTATGCTTACAGTATAGAAAGTTTGTCTTTCTTTGCTAGATCTTCTTAACCGTTTAGGAGAGCTTTAACAGTTGCTGCTAGTATTTTGCTAGGGTTCCACCAGTGTTTAGCTTTTGCATCCTTCTAATGTATAGTTTCAGGTCTCACCAGACAATCCTAATTCCACTACATTTCTGTTTGGCTCCAACATTCCACGTGGCTTGAGCAGTCTGGTTCTACCGTGCGCTTGTTGGAGGTCACCAATGTTCCCTGTCCAGTGCTGTCACCGTGTGACACCCAGTGGACTTTGGCGTTGTCACATTCAGTCAGCTGTGGTTCTGCTTAGAAACGCTACACTTAGTTACCGATGCAGTGTGAACCCGGTCCATGACCAGGGAGTCAGCGGCTCAGATGTGATTATGGTCCCGCAAGGTGATACTTGCTAAAATATCTAAACATTTTTTGTTGTTGTTGTAACTGAATCATTTTTTTAAATTTTTAAAGCTGGAAGTGATCAAATGCTGTTTTTTTTTTTTTTTCATTGTCAACAGTGGTGTGTCATTTTATATATGTTCCTAATGCTTACGGAACTCTCCCAGAATAAAGTTCTTCAGAAAGAGAAGCAAAGCGCACCGGTGTGTTTCTCAGTCTGGCTCTGAACATTCAGTGCGCGTTTTCACGAGACTTCACAGAGGCCGGAATACAGTCACCATAGAGAGTGCTAAGCTAGTTCAGTTTATTGAAGTCCAAACAAAGGCTAAACAGTACCACGTGATCTACTCAGTCTACCGAGGGAGGCGGCTTGAGGGCGCCTCCCGGCTAGGAGTTGAGCTGGCACAGCAGGGCCACGCCCCGTCCGATCCAGTGCTCCTTGGGCTGGTCGGAGGGGAGAATCATGGCAATCACGAAATTGGTGGAGTGGCCCGTGGTGGACAGCGTGCCCCTCCTCTCACTTGTCTTATACAGGGGAGCCACGTAGCTCGGCCGTTTGGGTATGTCCGACCTCTTACAGGGTTTTAGCCACATCTGGAAGAGAGGACAGGCACCTCTTTAAGTCAGACAGAGCTACCCTGATAGTCCCAGAGTAGGTTACATCTAAAGACCTGAACCCATTCTGCTCAGATACAAAGACTACAAAATGGAAAAGTTCCCTCTGTTAGAGACACACTGCCCGCTCGTGTTTATTTGGCTTAAGTGAGTTTACTGGGATAGCCTGGGAAATGTTCTCCTTTTTACGCCTTTTCTATAGAGCAAATATTCTTAGTGAACTTTAAACTATGACCCATATTTATGCTGGCGCTGCCTGGGCCATGGTTTTTCAGCAGTCTGTATGCACAGTAAACAGAGTTAATGCATAAAATACTGCACTGTGCCCATAACAAGGGCGGTCATGCTTAAAAAACACATCACCCGCTGTTCGCCACCAGCTCGCGTTTCCCTGGGGTGAAAACTGGTTGTGTTTTCAAAGAGATATGCCACTGTTTATACTAGTTTAAACTAGCAACAAATTCTGAAGAGTTTTCTTGGGGGGAGGGTGGAACAGTATCTAAGGAAACCACCATCTTATGGAAACAGGCATACTGTGTGCAAGATGGCAGTGAAGCACCTGGTCACTCAGCTGCTTCTCCACAAGAACTAAAGACTGTAGGAGCTGCACCTGGAGCTGGGAAAGCACTGGGATTCGGGATCCGAACACAAAATCCTTGTAGAATCCAGGGGCGGCAAGGCAAGAGAGCAGCCCAGTCCCGCAGCTATAAGAGGGGATCATCGCCAGCAAATGCCAGACAGGCACTGAAGTCCCCAGGTCTTTCCAGGTGCAGCCTAGGGAGACGAGAGCCCTGAAATGCTTCCCCCTCCAGGAGACCCCTCAGGGTTGCTATATAGCCAACAGCCAGTCTAAGAAAGAACCTGATTGACAGTTGTTCTAAGGGTCAAAAACCTTCACTACTCCCATCTCTGGAACCCCAGCGCCATTCTCCGCCACACTGGCTTAGCAGAACAGCTCCCCAGGCAAACAGGTTACTACACGGTGGTGGGTGATGAGGAGGGAGGGAGCCAAGGGAGTCCCCCCACAAGGACCAGGGTTGTGCTACTGCAGGATGCTCTAGGAAGGGTGGAAAAGATTCTATCGCCTCCCTGCCTGCCTAGTTTCAGCCAAACCAGCCCCAGCTGTAGCCCTGCTAGAGGCATAGCCCAGGGAAGTCTCAAAAAACAAGACAGTCCTTACTAGAGCAATTCAAGTTAAAGAAATGGGGAGAATAAAGTCAGGGGACACGACCAAAGATACAGCTAAAACTGCCCAACATACATTCCCGCTCTCCCTCCTGGGAGAACCCTGGGAGAGGGATTTTGCTTGGCCTCCGCCATGGCCCGCTGATTGATAGTCACTGGGAGAAAAGCTCCTGAACCCCCGAAAACACTTCTCTGGGGACCCGCTGGAGGATAGGGGGCTCTCTGATGTTTAACTGCTGCGTAGGCACATCCCCCTGCACTTGGCCTGGGAGCCTGCATCAACTGCCTCTCACTTGTCTGGCCACAAGCTCCTGACAAGAAGAGTGAGCACCGCAAGGGCGGGGGCAATGCTCTGTCACTCCCCAGGAAGCCACCAGACCCGCACAGTGTCCTATGGAAAGATCCTGCTCAGACCCTTCACCATTGTGGGAGCAGCCAAGACTAGGGTCCGTTCAGATAGCAGAGCCAGCATCGACCGTAGACACCATCTGACTCTCAAGTCTGTGCTCTGCCCAAACTCAAACACAGAGAAGCTACATGGAGACCTTGCCGCAGCACCAGCTGGACGTGAACTCAGCTGAGCAGAATGAACCGGCGCCCTAAGACACAGCTGTAAGAGACAGCCATATTCTCGGAAGGCTATCCCACGTGAGTGGTAGAGACACCCATTTCAACAGCCGCACAGATTTCAACACAGAAAAACAAGAATTGGTGTAAATATTTTAAAATAATACTTCCAGAAAATAACTCCCTGATAACAGATTCCAAAGATCCTGCTGCTGCTGCTGCTGCTAAGGCGCCGGACAGATTCAAAGGAGTGGTTGTTAAAAAACTTAGTGGGAGGGCTGGGGTGTGGGTGAGTGGGCACAGCTGACTTAGGAATTCAAGGTCACCCTCAGCCACCTTGAGCTGTGTGAAACCCTGTAACCAAACAAAGGGGGAAAAAACCCTCAATGACAAATGAAATCCAAGAAGATATACATTAAAAAAAAATTAGGAAGACGAAGCAGATATGAACAGGGAACTCATCAAAGACAGGAGGGCTGTGAGTTCAAGGCCACCCTGGACTGCAGGGTAAGATCCAAGATCATCTCTTGGAGTCAAAGGTAATGCAGCCGCCTGTCTCCAAGCCAGACTTGCTTAAGCCGATATACCAAAAATAGTGGCTTTCAGAATATCATACTCAAAAGATAATGAAAGAGAACGAGACAGGATGAAAAGACTACAGGATCTTGGAAGCGCCAAAGATCAAATGCCTGAATAACTGGCATACTTGAAGGAGAAAAAAAATAAAGACTGAGGGCACAGAAAACCTATCCAATAAAATAAGCAGGAAGCTTCCCTAGTCCGAAAAACACATGTATTCATAGATAGGAAGTCTTAGATCCCCAAAAGTCATGGCCGGAAAGATCCCAGTAACACATAGTTGAAAGGCCAAAAGCACGGTACAATGGAGGGGTGTGTGTGTGTGTGTGTGTGTGTGTGTGTGTGCCCATCTGTGCAGCTGGGCATGCCTAGAGGGGCCAAAAGAACATTAGACATATTCCTCTATCATGCTGCAATTTGGTTTTTGAAGTACGAGCTGTCATTTGGTCTTGAAGCTCACTGTAGGCTGGCTCGCAAGCTCCTGCGTCTGTCTGCCTCCCTCCGCCAACACGGTTGCAGGTGTGTGCCATACCTGGGGTTTTACCTAGGATTTGAACTCAGGTCTTCTTGCTTTTCAGTACAGCAAGTATTCTGACCCATGAAACCATCTCATCACACCCAGAGGTAGTTTTACAAACTACAAGAGGAGAACACCAACTCGCACTGAAGGGAAGCCCTAGAATTCTCAGCAGAAGCCTAACAGTCCAGGGGACATGAGATAACACATTTGAGTCTAGAGAGAAAAAGATTACTTCTCACGTCTTGTATCTAGGAGGCTGTCCTTTAGAGTTATCAGAATCCTGTGAGGAGAATCCCAGGTGCTTATGAGAAAATCCCCCAAAAAAACAAGACTTATGACCTCAGTTGCTTCAAAGCATGGGATTGTTCCTGGAATGGGTTTTCGTGTTCCTGCCAGATGCAGCAGACAGGAGCGAGTTTACTTCAGATAGCTCATTACAGCTGGCTGCTGCTGTTTGCTTTATGCCTCTGTGGATAAGCATGCTTTTGCTATGTGTGGCTTGCCCTTGTGGGTGTACACTTTACTAGGGTGACTCTTAGTCCTCAGAGTCTAAGTTGTCCGAGGCTCAGAATAAAGTTGGTTGTGGCATGAGACTTTAGTCTGCCTCGTTCATCAGCTCTGTTCTCTTGGGTCCCACTGCCTCTGGAGCAGTAAACAAGAATGAAGAAACAAAGACTTTCCAGGATAAATAAAAACTAAGGCAATTTATGATCACAAGACACATATTACTAAAGAGTGCAAAAAAAATAAAACCTACACTAAAAGAAAAAACAGTCATCGTGAGCACATGAAGTATAAACTCCACTGGAAGAGTAGGTACGCTAGTGAGAAATCCAAAACATCAAGGTATCAATACAAGAAATCATCAAGCCCCAGGGATGACCACAGATAAGACCGGAAGAGTCCAACAATACTGTAAACAGAAGAAAGCAGAGGCCATGACAGGCACAATGTACCTTTCAGAACTCTGAATGAACGTGGCCTTAACTCTCCACTTAAATGATACAGATTGTTGGATGAATTAAAAGCCAGACCCAAAACATGCTGCCCACAAGAAGCGTGCCTCAACCGAAAAGATAAACAGACTTACAGGAAAGGGTGGAAAATGACATCCTCGGCAAACAGGATTCCAAACCAGGGATGAGCAGTTACAAGACTAAGAAGACAAAGGGCGCTGCATAACAGTCAAGGAATCAATTCATCAAGAAGATGGATTATTTATAAATATACACGCACATAATAACAGTGCCCAATTTTATGAGCATTGGTGTTTTGCCTGCATGTGTGCATCTCTGAGGGGGTCAGATCTTGGAATTACAGACGTACATGCAGGCAAAATACCATGTGAGCTGCCATGTGGGTGCAGGGAATTGAACCCGGGTCCTCTAGAGGATCGGTCAGAGTTCTCGCTCACTGAGCCATCTCTCCAGCAGATTTTATGCTGTACCCAATTTTATCACACAACACTACTAGGCAAAAAGGGAGCACGGGCTCCAATACAACAACAGCAGGGGATGTCAGCACCCCATGCTCACCAGGGGACAGTCATCCAGATAAAGTATCCGCACGGAAAAACCAGAGTTAATGTACGCAGCAGGTAAATGAATTTTACACTTGCCAAACATTCCCCCTGAAGCTCTAGGACGCACACACTTTCCAACAGCACTCAGAGCTTTTAGCGTGTCCACGAACACGCAGTGTATCT